AAGTGAGATGGGACTTCCTGTCCCTGTCTGTTTGAGGAACCAGAACCATAAATCCTCCAGTTGTGAAAAAGTGTCTTTTACCTACTTCCCTGATGTAAGTCTGAGAACATCGATTTCAGGCTCCACCAAGTCAACCGCCCTTTGTCTTTCAACTCAGATAGCTGATCTTTGGTGCACCCTTTGAGAAAGACTTATAAAACATCATTGAAACATGACCCCAAACCCAGCTTCTGCCCCTCGCCTTCTCTCCTTGACTGGCCATGTTACTGGAATTCTTCTTAGTACAGCCACCGGGGCCACGGCCAGGTCCTTGCCTTACCGGGTTTCTTAGTGTGTTGTCCCTGCCATCCCTGCCTCCATGAAGGGCATTGTTCCATAGATCCCGTGACTCCACCCACGCCTGGTTCCTCCGCTGTCACTCTTTCTCATCCTTCTTCGTGAGCTCATCCTCTGGTCTGTCTCTCCTGTTCCAGATGCCGCCCTCATGCTGCTGCCCTCTTCACCTCACACACCCTCTCATGATGGGTGAATTCCATCTGTGGGCCTCTGCTACTCGCCTGTGCTCAGATCTGTGTCTACAGCCCAGAACTCTCCTCTGAGTTGGGACTCATTCTCCAACGTCTTTCTGGAAATGGCCCTCTTGGGTATCCGGCGTTCTGTACTCACACCCCTCTTTCTCCTCATCCGTAGAACTCCCTCCACAGCTGGTGCAATGCCTTCCTCTTGTGTCTTCCTTGCTGGAGACTTGGGGTCATCCTGGGGGCCCACCTTCCTTTTTTCACACTGCTTCTGAGTCACTGGGTCTGGCTGGTTTTACCTCCCGCATCTCTCTTAAAGCCTCTCTTCACTTTCCACTTCCTTGTGCCATGCTCTCATTTTAGGGCTTATACAAATATCTGTATCGTATATCTATAATATACATACATACCTGTGTAAAGACACATAATCTATAACCCATATGTGTGTATTATAGATGTATCTGTGTCTCTTGTGTGCACCTCTAGCCACAACTGGACACGTGTTCCCTGCCTCCAGTCTTGTTCCTTTCGAATCCACCTTCCATCAGTTTCCAGAATGGTTAATTCTAGGTGTGAAGAAACCTGGTGGAGACATGTGTTCCTGAAGCCACGTTGCTGGCATGTCCCCCTGTGATCTGGCGACTGTCTCCTGCCGTCTTCTCAACCCCCAGAAGTCCCTCCCCCATTATGGTGCTCCAGGAACTGCCTACAGTTCTCCCAGCCCACTGGGTGCTCCTCGTTTTTAGGAGTTGTTGGTTAGGTCTGGGCTTTTTTATGTCCGGGAGATCCATGCCTGCCCTGATGGAGCTCCCAGGGGACCTGGTTGTTCAGGAAATAATGGCAAATGGGAAGTCAAGTCATCTCTTTGTTGCTGGCGGGGCCTGGATCCCCAAATCCAGTGCAGACCAACTGGTCAGGCTGGGAACATGTGACACTTTTGGTGGATTCCGTAACTGGACTGCAGTTTCTTATCTGTAAGATGGGGATAATAATTGTACCTAGCATATTAGGTGGTTCTGAGACTTCTAGGAATTAATCCCTGCAAAACACTGAGAACTACCTGGGCTGTGGTAGGTAAAACTGTAATAGTTATTATGCTTGATTGAGTTTCTTAATAACTCCAGTGTAACCCTGAATAGCAGGAATGCCTCGCTGGTGATTCAGTTTAGTTTTTGGCCACAGTAAGAACGTGGATGTTTTGTTTTACACGAACTCCGCTGCTGTAGCTGCTTCTATGTTCCTCCTGACTTTGGGGCGTCTTTGGGCCCGAAAGCTCTCGATAAAGAACGTCCCTTTGAAGATCTACTGTCCCTTGCCAACTACCAACGTCTGACTTAGACCCCGAGTTTTCTGATTTTCTTGCCCAGATAGCATCTATGTCTCCGAACTCGTGTGGATTCAGAGGATCACAGAGCTCTCTGTCCATCACTCTCTGTCCAGGGTGGAGCACAGTTCCACCTACTCCCCGAAGGCGGTCAGTGAGTACATGCTTCACCACTGAAACCTCAAGACTTGGAATATTAGTAATGCAGTCAGACTTGGTGTCTGGCCGTGGACGTAGAGATGTCACGTGCCCTCTCCTCCGCCTTTGTCCCCAGCCCTGCGACAGCCCCAGCAGAATGCCCTGCTGACAAGCGGCAGCACCTCCTCATAGGTCTGAACTTGCTTTGTTGGAAGGGCCCAGATGCGGCCCAGTGACCGCAGTTGTAGGGAGAAGATGCTGAACGGAGGTTCACTGGTGATTGATGTCACCGAGAGGTTGCGGGGGGCCTGACACAGTGGAAGGGCACTGAGGGTACGAGGCCGCAGGGGGACAGATCTTTCTAAACCCCTGGTGCCGTCGAGCAGCTGAGCGGCTTCTCACCTCCCCGCATCTTCCAGCGGCTACGATCACGGCCTGCCAGAGGCCACATGAGAACGTGCCCTCGTGGAGTGAAGGTTGGTTAGCCTCTGAAAGCGTCTCTTTCAGCTTTAAGAATTGAAGATTTTGGGTAGAAATTGGTGGTCAGTCAGTCACAGGTGGGCCTACCTGTACATTTTTTGGCCTGTCTGCTCACGTCTTGGCAGTTTTTCTCCTCATTCGCAGTTCTGTCGAGGAGTGGGCATGGGAATACAAGTTGAAACTCTCACGGGGAAGTTAACCCGCTTGGCCCCACGAAGGGCGAAATTGGCTCTGGGGCATGGAGTTAGGTCCACAGGACCATTTCTGTAGTTGCCCCTTCCTGCCTCTTATGCCCACTGACCACTCAGCCCTGGTAATAGAGTATTTTTCGATTGTTCTTTCTGATTTCTATGTAAGTGCTAGTGTTCCAAGAGTAATTTTATAACGTTTGCATATTTAGGAGATGAAAGCATTTGAAAATGTTTTAGCTTCTATTTTAACTCTGCAAATAATGACACAGTGGCATTTTAGATTGCTTGTTCTCTGCTCAGTAGACGGATGAGAGAGCCTGGCTAATTTTTGCCTTTGTTCCGGGTCTTTTTGTTTAATAAATCCTTGTGGGCCAAGCCACAGGGTTTTCTTGCACAAGGGACTGAATGTAGCACATGCAGTGTGGCCCAGAGCATCCTATGACCACAGAGTGGCCTTGCGTAGGGTGGAGGGAACGTTTCAGGTTTTCTCACTGGATTGACTTCCGTGGGTCTTTCTCTCCAAGAATGGCCCTCCTGGGGGTAACAGCATTTGCTTTATAGGCCGGGATGGCCCCTTGCTATGTGCTGCTGGGACAGAAAGGAGCAGGAGCGAATTCTGGAGAGGTTTCCGAGGAAGCCTGGACAAGACTCAGTAATTAGGCGAATACTAAGAGAAAAGAAAAAGTCTAGGGTGACACTCAGGGGTTTGCCTTTGGGTGATGAGCTGATTTTGCAGAAAGAAGAGTCTGAAATTGTGTGCGTTTATTCTGAGGTGCCTGCAGAGCATCCCCGTAGAGATAACCGGGAAGACAGTTGGACATCCCTGTTTGTGGTTTGGGCGCGATCGCAACAGGATATATATCACGCTGTCAGACTGATCGCTGGGTCCACCGCAGGAGAGCAGACAGGCCCTGGACAGAGCTCAGAGAAAGCTGGCATTTCCCGTTGTCCCATCCGGATCCCCCGGACTGTTCCCAGAGCTCCTACCACCATGGGCTGCTCCCTCTCTCCTGTTTCTGCCAGGCCAGCGAGCTGCTTGTGTTCCCAGATGGGCCCTGAATGCACATTGGGGATTCACGTGGCATTCTGCCGGACAGTTGTAGGGCTCACGGTTCAGAGGGATACTAATACTGTCTTGCCTATGCGTCAGGGCGGGGGATGGAACAGTGATCCAGACGTCCATCCTTCACTCTGCCGATGGCATGGCCTCACTGGGTTCCCTAAGGGGCTTGAGCAGGCACCCCTTTCCTCCTCACCGCTCATTCTGGACCCCTCAAAGCAGTATGCAAGGTGGGAGCCAGGCCGCATGACCCCTTGCGTCCTTATCTTGAAAGTGCCTCATCCTGCCCAGGTGGGGGCTGGAAATACATTTACCAGGTGGATTTCCCTAATGGGGGACAGCTGTGGGTTGATGCCTGTATCTGTGCACGTGCTTGCAGGTGAGTCCTGTGGAGAAAGTGACTTGGAGAAGCAGGTACATCAGGGAATTAATTGTGAGGGGAGCTACTTTGAAAGACATTCACTTTATTTTATTGTATTTTATTTTTTAAATGTTTGTTTATTTTGGGGCGCCTGGGTGGCTCAGTCAGTTAAGCGTCCGACCTCAGCTCAGGTCATGATCTCACGGCTCGTGAGTTCGAGCCCCGTGTCAGGCTCTGTGCTGACAGCTCGGAGCCTGGAGCCTGCTTCGGATTCTGTGTCTCTGTCTCTCGGCCCCTCCCATCCTTGTATTCTGTCTCTCTCAAAAATAAACAAACATTTAAAAAAATAAAAAAAAAAGAATGTTTATTTATGAGAGAGAGAGAGAAAGCACAGACAGGGGAGGGGCAGAGAGGGAGAAAGAGAATCTCAGGCAGACTTCAGGCTCCGCACACAGAGCCCGACACAAGCCTCGATCTTACAACCGTGAGATCATGACCTGAACCAAAATCAAGAGTCAGATGCTCAACCAAATGAGCCACCCAGGTGCCCCGGAAGACATTCACTTTAAAAAAAAAAAAAAAAAAAAGGAAAATGATAGATTGCTGTGTTCCTCTTATGTTATTTTCTTCTTGGACAAGAAGTGGACAAAATGAGAAATGAAAGCAACCACCTTGAGCACAGACCCTTCCTACCCAGGGGACACCTTGTGCAATGACTTGCTTGGTCCCCGCCGAGGCAGGACTCAGCATCCCGACATTGCGTTTCTCCCTGGAGCGCGTCCTAGGGGGCAGCCTGCTCATCAGGCTTTGGGGGTGTCAGACACCCCGGGGTGGGGGGTCGGTGGAGGAGGACATTGGGGCAAGTTGCGCCCCTTCCGCTTGGGGCTCGACCTCCCCTGGGGCTCACCTTCAGTCCTTGTCCCTGCAGCCCTTCCGCTGTGCCCATTGCCATTACTCCTGTAACATATCCGGCTCCCTGAAACGGCACTACAACAGGAAGCACCCCAACGAGGAATACGCCAACGTGGGCACCGGGGAGCTGGCGGCCGACGCACTCGTCCAGCAAGGTAGGCAGTGTGCCCCTTGAGAGGAGCTGGGACGTCTTGCAGCTCAGCCCCGACCCCTGAGCATTTTGTTAGTTCCCCGTCGTCATGACTGTGCTCCACGTCCCCTGTTGGCATGTCCCGGCGTTACTTGCTGCCTCCGTGGAGATCCAGGATGAGGAATCCTAATTTACCACCCTCCCCACGACGTTCACTTGCCAGCGCTGGCTGCCTTCTGTTCTTGGTCCGTGTACCTTCCTCCTGCATGAAAGTTCCTGCTCACGTGCACGTTCTGTTGTCTCCCTCAGTATAACTTCCAAGGGCTGTTTGTGGTCCAGCATCAGGTGGCCCATTTTGTTTCGCCCTGCTCCTGTTGGACATGGTAGGGTTTCCAGATTCCTCTTTTGTGGCAATTATGAATCATGCCGTGGCAAGCGTATTTGTAGGTGAGCTTCTTTAGATTATCCAGAAATATTTATTGAGTGCTCAGATTGCTTATTCATCCTGAAAAGGATAAACCATTTAGAGCATTTAAACTGAACAGAATGGATGCAAACCTCTCATATTCTTGAAAAGCCTGAGAGGTTTTTTTTTTTTTTTTTTTTTTTTTTTTTTTTTTTTTTGCTGCTTTTTTCAGTAAATGATCGCATATTCCCACTTGAGAAGGTTGAGCTCATGAGCTGTTGCCATACAGAGAAGTGCTGCTGTATTTATATCCGTGCCTCAGTAATTCAACTAAAAAAATGATTGCCGCACACAGTCCATCAGTTTTTACTACTTTCTGAGTCCTGTGACTCTTTGAAGCCAGAGACCGTTTTAGAAACCTGCCCCCAGTGAACAGAGATGCGGGCTGGCGCTCCCGGCTGCAGGTGCGGGCGCTCTGAGGTTTCCGGTGCGGCGCGAAGTCCCTGCTCGCTGGGATTGCCTTGAATGAATCTTCATATAAAACAAATGAATTGACCGAATCCTTCAGCACTTTCAGTGACAGGGCTGATGTATGGAGGTAGATAACGGCATAAAAACTCAGGATAATTTTAGAGCCATCCATCAGGGGTAACGGGGAGTGTGTGCCTCGTGTTTTAATGACCGTTTCGTAGAGCTGGAGACCGGGATGGTGCCGTGGGGGGTGCAGGGGCCCTGGCTCGAGTCTGTGCTCCGCTCCTTGAGTGGTGCCATCAGGGCACGTTAACCAGCCTCTCCAGCTCAGGCCCTTCACCTGAGAATGGAGTCGATAGCAGCCTTCTCTCCTCGTGGCGGACGGGGTTACCTGAGCGAGCACCTGAGTGGCACGCAATACATTTTCGTACTTGTTTCCTTTTTCCTGAAAACATCTACGCCCTCTAGAGCTCTAGAGCCATTGCATCATTTTTGATGCCCCCCGCCCCCCACCCCGCCCCTCCTGCCCCGGTCCAGGAATCACAGAGGAGAGAACCGATTGCCTTAGAGTCACAGCAGATTGCTCGAGAAGCAGGCTAGACATTCCTTTTATTATCCTTCGCGCTGTTGGGTTGGATTGGCAGGAAATAGACCTTTACTGCGGCTGTTGGGACAGGCGTGGGGCTCTGATTGATGACACTATCACTGCTCTCTGCTTCCAAACTTTCATCATTGCCTTGCGGAGAATGTGCCGGTGCCAAACTGTTTCCTGCCCTACGTTTTCAGTTACCTTTCTGAGACGCTCTGTCATCTGTTGGCATTCCCTGACAGGGTCTGCCGGGTTTTAATTTTTATCTTTGCAGGGGCATTTTTGGTGTTTTCATATATACATGATACATGCGTATACATATATGTATATGTGTGTATGTGTGTACACGTGTGTGTGTGTGTGTGTGTGTGTATATACACACACGTACATGTGTGTACACACACACACACACACACACACCCATATTTCCAGTGCCCCCTTCAAGGGACAAGCTGAGGAAGGAAACAACTAGATGCCTCTCTTGGCTCATAAGAGACATTACACCATTGTATTTTGGCGGGAGAATAGTCTCTGAAATGAGATCGCTGGTTGAGTATGAACACAGGTTAGGATCTTTAAGAGCACGATGCTCCCACTGTTCCTCTGTCTGAGAGCAGGCAGGGAAACGGAGGGACAACGTGGGATGCACACAGTTGCTGTGTTCGGAACGCTGGGTGCTTGGGTACCACTGGAAATTTTCATCTTCTTTTGATTAATTTCACAGAATTCTCCCCAACCTCTCCCCACCCCCCACACTTGGTTTTGTTTTTCTCTTCTAGTCCCTCATCAAAAAATATCTTCATGGGACTTACTAACTTCTTGTTTTGGCATAGAGAAATATGTGTTAGAGTAACGTGACAACAAGCTGTGAACAAAATGTACCCTTCTCAGAGTGGTGTTACGGCTTCCCCACAGGGGAAGGGACTCCTTGTCCATCAGCCCAGTGTAAGCAGTGCCACGCTGTGACACAGGCAAAGCCATCAGCTGTGGGCAAAGGTTCTCTTACCCACGATGCTCAGGGATTTGGGAAGGATGTCCACGCGTGGCACTGTGCAGGAGGTAGGGAGAAAGGCCTAAAAGGCAGAGATGTTTCCAGGTCAGACATTTCTGTTCCTTGCCGGTTTCTGGGGGAAGGTTCCCCGGTGGTCTCCGTGGAGTCGGGGTGATTTTCAGTGGGCTCCCGAAGGCCTCTGGAGTGGCGGCTGCTCGGGCGTCCACCCGTCGTGTTCTGTAAATGTTTACCAACGGGCTGTCTCAGGGGCAGGGAGAAGGGAAGCTGGTTTACAGCATTCGCCAGCTTCTGTAGTGGAAATGGTTGTGCTGTGGCCAATTTTAAGCTATCAGTGTGATGTCACTGACCTGGACAGAGATGCGCACAGCGGCTTGCGAGCTGGTGGCAGCTGGCTCCCGCCCGCCACTGGTCCCCAGGGCACAGGGGTGACGATGGCACCCCTTTGGGACCCACAGTCCCCTGAGAACTCTGGTGCGTTTCGGTAATGAGACTTGCCCGGAAGGCCGTGTCGATGTGTTACTGCTCCCTGCTTATATTTGGTGTCCTTCTGATACTTCGAAGGCAGATTGGACAATCTCTTGCCAATTTTCTTAGCCCGTCGCTTGTTCGTTAATACGGACGTGAGGCATTTTCCCACACAAACACACGTTTTCACGTCGTGTGGCTGCAGCGGGCCCGGCCCTGTTTCCTCTCGGAATCTGCCTGAGTTAGTAGCTCAGGGGCCGCTTCCCTAGGTCTCGGGCTGGGGGCTGGCTTCGCTTCACAGGCCGTTAGCTCCGTCCTGAGCTCACCGCAGGACACAGGTGGGACTGGCAGGCTGCTTACTTCCCAGTGACCTCAGAGCGGCCCCGCAGGTCACTCCAGGTCACTCCAGGTTATTGGCGTGAGCACAGGCATGGGAGTCCGGGGCCCGGAGCTGGGGCGGCCGATCGCTGTGGCGCTGGGACGACTCGCTTAACTTCTCTGAACGTCGTGTTACGTGTCTTCGAAGACGAGGTGCTGATACTGCTCAACAGCAGTTGTAGAGATTAGATCTCACTCTCTAAGGTCCCAGGAGGTGCCTGACACGTAGTGCTTGATAAATGGTTCAGATTGACTGTCGTGTTTATTCCCACGTTCCTTGGTCACCATGTGTCTCTTGTGCTCCTAGTGTGCCCGACATTGTGCTGGACCCTGGGATGTGGTGGCCTTTATCGTGTTGTGGCCTGGGCTGCGGACGAAGGCTGGGAAGCTCCTCCAAGGCCCCGTGTTCTGGCTGTAACAGAACGCGTGTTCCTTCCAACAGTTACCCACGCTGCTCACAGGAGGAGAATTCGCTGTTTCTCTGTGGTGCTGACCCTTCTCCCCAGCCCCACTGTTCGAGGGTCATTGAGGCTGGGGTGGCGATTGGGATGAGGGGCAGTGGGAAGAGCAGGGCTCGAGGAGAAGGCTGCGTGTGCAGCATCTGCTAAAATCTTGGCGTGATTTTGAACTACCCTAATAGAAGAGTGTAAAAGTATTTGCATATGCACCTTGGATATATATCCATACCTTGGCTTTTCACACCAAATCCAGGGCAAATAGCATAGAAGAAAATCCAGAAACTACCAGGTTACACAAAAGTCATTAATTTGATTTGGATACATTTTAATTTTAAAATTGTTTTTATTAGGGGGGCGCCTGGGTGGCGCAGTCGGTTAAGCGTCCGACTTCAGCCAGGTCACGATCTCGCGGTCCGTGAGTTCGAGCCCCGCGTCAGGCTCTGGGCTGATGGCTCGGAGCCTGGAGCCTGTTTCCGATTCTGTGTCTCCCTCTCTCTCTCTGCCCCTTCCCCGTTCATGCTCTGTCTCTCTCTGTCCCAAAAATAAATAAAAAACGTTGAAAAAAAAAAATTAAAAAAAAATAAAATAAAATAAAATTGTTTTTATTAGGGCCCAGATTCCATACCTGACTGGCAGGTGCTTCCAGTGATGTGATGTCATTGCACCGTGTTATTGCTCTGCATTCCTTTCTCTCTCAGAGGCCCTGTGAGGTCGGCATCGTCATTCCTGTTTTCAAGAGAGGAAACACGGGTGGGAGAGTGGTCAGCCCAGGCCACAAAGTGGGCGAGGGCCTGGCCAGTCCCCCCTGAAGCTTGTCTCACATTTGCACTTGTTAAGGAGGAAGAGGAGGAGGAAGCATATGGTCCTGTTCTGGGACAGTGATTGGCTCGCATTCCATAGTGGTCACATGATCCTGTGTCAGAGGGTCTCGCACACGCAGGCTGCCATTTACTCTTTCTGAGTTTTTTTGTCTCCAGGTCTAGTTGCTGATCTAGCTACTGATCTGCTGATCTGGGGTTTGAGAGAGATCCAGGTAGTGTTCTGACAGCATGCTGTGTGAGCAGGGGCCTCCATGTCATGCTTGCATAGGATTTCCACTAGATTGCTGTCCTGGGCGCGTTTCCTCGTTCTGGGCTGGGGCTCTGCCGGGTCTCAGGACAGGCACTGGATTAAGAGACAGCAAGAAGTGGGGATTTTAACAAAGTCCGGGTCCGCATTTTGCTTCCTAATATTGTATCATCACATT